TTCTTTGGGTGATTAGACTAAACATCAGGGGTAGGCTTTGCAATTTGAGCCCCGATTTTTATCTAATTAGTACTTTCTCTTGTCCTAATTTTGCAGGCGGCTTGCAAGAATTCACCTGAGAGCACAGATGCCAAAAGGGCCATCGAACTTTTATACGATACTGCCCTTATATCTAGTGGATTCACTGTAAGTTCTCAAATACTTATTTACATAGGGCACATTTGCAAACTCTCATCAAAGGAGTACTTAACTAAATTATCCTTAAAAAGCAACTAAATATTGGATTTGATGAGGGTGTAAGTGTAAAATCAGTTGAGTAGATAAAGTGGACAAAGAGTTATCTTACCTTGGAGGGGTGATTAATTATCATGACATAAAACATATTATTTCATGGGCTTCATAGATAGTTTTCCGGGCCTCTAAAATTTAGCGGGCTTTTATCTTTAGCCGTATAATTTTTCTTCTCACTTTAATTTCACTTCAAAATATTATGTGCGGCAGCCTGATAGCCCAGCTGAGCTCGGTAACAAAATATACGAGATGATGGCTATGGCACTCGGAGGAAGGTGGGGCAGATCGGAGGACGATGCAGAAGGAAATGACGAAAATACCCCTGAGGGCGATGGTGTGGGCTCGGATGATGGCTCGGAAGCTCAAGTGATTGAGCCATCGGAAGTGAGGATGGAGAGCGATCCTTGGAGTGACTGAGATTGCGTTTGTGTTAGCTTTTATTAGTAAGAAAAAATTATTCATATATCAGAATTTTGGCAATGGCTGGTATCAGAATTTTATTAGTTGAAATTTTTGTTCACTTGGGAAAAAAGTTCAAATTTTGTGGTGATTATTTTTCATGGTGATCTTTAGTTTTTTATGTGTTGTCTTACAATCAAATTTAGTTTTCTCTTAAAAATAATTTTGGGAATGCATTGTATCTTGATTTATTGCATGTTTGGCCGCGTTTTCATGAATTGACAAATCATTAAATCATATGCTAATGTTCTCTTCTGTGAACCAAACTTTTACATTTATGTAATTTTTATTTTAGTTGCACTATATATTTACTTTTATTACAAGTTGACTTGTAGTCAATTTTTTTTATTGATTTTTAAATTGCATTATTTTTTTTTCTTTTAACTAATTTTTTTATAATTTATATATGATTTTATTTCTAATGTCATATTTAGCAAAAAAACTTTTAAAAAATTATAGCAAACATGTAAAATAATATTGACTAATGATCTCCTTGCTTATCAAGTCAACCTATAGATAATTATACTTCCAAAGGGACACAAGAAAAAAAAAATGTGAAATCACTAACATGATATGTTGAAATACTCTACAGTTACTCAAAAACCATTTCCAAATTGATTGAACGAGAACAATGCACCATCTCTATTACAACAGTTTCAAAATCAAAGGGAACAACTGTACCATGTTCTTCCAAGCAACATATGAATCTGCAGAACTTAGAAGAAAAATATCATCGTAAAATCGACAGACATTGCACACGTTATCTCCCGGTACATGTAAATACTGCAAACAGTGAAGGGATAAGGTGTTGGATAAGGCATTGTCTTATTCAATGTTCGGTCCATCGCTCAACAAAACGCATTAAATTTGCCCGCCTTACAACTTGTTAAGGTTCAACTTTCGCTTGACCTGCCAAAAGATTATTTTTAATGAGAGGGAAAAAAGAAAAGAAACAGAAAATTACATCAAGTATTCGAATAACATTAGACGAGAAAGGAACTTTTGAAAAAAATATACCCCTTAAATCGGGAGCACTTAAATTAAGCCCATTTTGTACAATGTTATGAAGCTCGTCGTCCCACATTCCTGATGCCTGCATTGTAAGGGCCATTGTCGAAAAAAACGCACAGTTTAGGGGGCAAAAGTGCAAATTATTATTTTGAAGTAGTAGATCACTAGATCTTGAGAAAGAGAAGCTTTTAATTATTTTCCAAAGAATGAAAGTAGATATGAAGCTTACTTGAGAGGTAGGCTCTCTAAATCCTCTCGAGACAACATTTGACTGAGAATTGATCGGTCGATGCAGTGTTGTTTGGTGGATTAATCGAGTTTGTGGCGTGTGAATCGGAGAAAAATTCGGGATTAATCTAGTCTGTAGTATCTGTTAATGAAATCAATTTTATTCAAATAAATTTAAGCATATATATAGATATTTGGCAAAAAAAAAAAAAAATTGTAACTCAAATGTCTTACATCTTTAGCAAGATACCCTTCCATATCGAAATCGATGCTCGGGTTCACTGTTGCAAGCTTCATCGATAAGAACTGTTGTAGAGTAGAAAATTAAATGCAATCATGTCAATTTTCTAGTAAAATGAGTTCAAAGTGCACATTCAGAAAAAAAGCTAACCAAATGAAATATTTATAAGAATATATCAATGAACAAATTAACAAAGAACTCATAAACCATAATCACCTCAACTTGCCGCTGTAAGGATTGCACGTAATTGATGATTTCGTCGAGCATTACAGCTTTTCCAGTGACCTGCTAAAAATAACATGTTCAATAATAATAATAATATTATACAATTATATATTGATTAGCAAATGGAATTCGCTCGATTACCTTGTTGCAACCTGGAACAAGATCTTGGAGAAACTTCATCCTCTCACTAATTTTCTCCCTCCTTATCTAACATTACAAAAAATGCAGTATAATANGAATGAAAAAAAATCTACCCTTTCTGCAAGACTGTGGCTATTCGTGGCCTGGCCCCTTCGTGCTCGAACGTGTATGTACTCTTTGCCACTCGAATTCTCAGCCAAAGTCGGGTTTTTTCCATTATCCTTTTCCTTAATTTCATCAGTGTCCTCTGTTTCAATAGCCAGTCGATCGGCTTCATTATTTTCCTCATTCACAATTTTCTAATCACAATCAATCACAAACTCAATATCAATGACCAAAAAACAAACATAAATGTCTAATAGAAAACCCAAAAAAAAATAAAATAAAATAAAATAAAAATAAAATTGAGGTAGTCCAAAATTTAAATTCTACCTGCTCAGCTCTTTTCCTCTTCTTTAATCCAACCCTTCTACCAAACAACTCCTCCGGACCTTCACGCCCGCTAAATTCAGCTACCTCATCAACCCCGTTTTTCGTTTCAGCACGAGAACAAATAAATTTATCGAGTTTTGACTCGTTCTTAAATGGGCTTCCTTCATTTTTGTCACCCACTAAAGCCTCGTTTGGCTTTTGCATTAATCCCGAACAAGGATCATCGGCATTCATATAGCCAAGATTGCTGAAAGGGCTGACCATCTGACTAAAGCTCCCTCCATTGAAGCAAGAAAACTTCGCAGCCCGCTCGATAAAACCCGAATCTTCCGGAAAATTATGAAAACTAGGTGAAGCCAAATTTGGAAAACTCGAGAGGAATGTGTTTTGGCCTAAGCCCACATTTCTCGAAGGGCTTGATGAGCTGGCTTCATTTTGAGCATTCGAGTCACAATAGCTTAGGTCACACATGAAAGAGCCCATCAAAGAAGTGGGAAGATAAGATGAAAACATCTCCATTGATGTGTTTGGTTTGTTGTTTGGAGTTAAATGCCAATCTGAAGAAATATTGGGTGCATCATGGTAATTTACAGTCTCTTTAGGTGGCTCAACATTAGGATCATTTCCAGGCATATCCATCATTTAAAAAAAAAATAAAAAAATATCACAAATTTGAGATCTATTTTTCTCCTCAAAGCTTATCCCCTAAAATCCAAGAAATCCCCTGAAAAAACAGGAGAAGTAGAAAATTAACCAGCAACTACATAATAATAAATCATAAGAGACATCTCCAAAAATTGAGACTATAAACAATTCAATCTTTCACCAACATTTGATGAGAGAATCAATTCAATCTTCAGCAAATAAATAAAATAAAATAGAATGATTACATTTACAACAGTGAACGACCCAGTTCAATTTATGACTCAAGAATTTAAGACAAACAAACATGGGCACAGAGCAAAAACATGTAATTTCCCAGAAAGAATAAAAGAAAAACCTAAAAAAGGGAACAAAAATTCCAGTTCATTAAAGAGGGCCAAGAGAAATTGAAGTCAATTTGAAGCATAAAAGAACATTGCTTTCACCACATTAAATACCACAGCAAATTTTCAATTGACTCCACAAACCCTATGGTCAGAAGGAAGAAAATCAAAATCACACATGATGTAAGAAAGTGAAAAAGGGGGAAGAAAAAAAGATACCATTTTTCAGATTACTTGCTGCCATTAATAGCTTCTGTTCAAGTTTGAACGAGACCCTTCAATAAAAAAACGACCTTTCTACTTTTTTTTCTTGAAAATTTGAACTTCAGCCCTGTTAGGTTACTGTTCAAACCTGAGGCAGTTGAGCATATAATATACAGTGATAGTGATCAATCGAGGAAGTAATAAAGAAGGGAAGAGAGGAAGAGTGGAAATATCTGAAGCAAAAATGCTGAATATATCAAGAAAACAGAGTTCCTTTGATGATGATTGCTTTGCTTGGTAACCACCGCCACTGATAACTTTTTATAATAAACATAAAAATTAAAAGAAAAAGAAACTGTAAAATCAGGACATTTTACAGTGACGATTCTGAGTAATTGTTGCTAATTTTACCATTTTACTGCAATTGCTGGTAAAAAATATCAACAATTGCTGGTAAAAAACACTTTTGTATAATTTTTTTTAATGCATGTTTTCATAATAAATTTGTCCAAAAGTTTACACATCTTTTACTTATTTGGAAATGAGTTTTTGAGGGCGTCCTTGTTTACAAATTAATCCACATAATATGAGTTTTTTTGGTTAACTTTGATTAATTTTGAAAAAGATTTTTTGATTAACTTAGGTTACTTTTGAAAAAGACGGTACAATTTAATTGTTAGTGGAATTGTGAGTTTATAGTAAAATAATTAAATTGATTTGATATGAAAGTAAGAGAGATATAATATAAAGTAATAATTAATTAAAATTATGTGAGTAAATGAATAGTGAATTAAAGTTGATGTGATTTATAAGAACGATTGATTTGTATTATTTAATTACATGAATAATATTAAAAATAGCAAAATTTAGTTAAAATTGAATTAGATTTTAAGTACATATTAAATATGAGTGATTTATTTATTTATTTTTTTAAACAAGCAACCCTTGAGGAATCAACTTTTTCATAAGTTTATTTTTAATTTGGTACCAAATATGGATTATTTATTCAAAGGAATTTTAGCAATACGGAGACTGTTTGAGAAGTGTTTTCAAATCAGCTAATAGTTTCTGAGTTTTTTAAAAATTGTTTTTTAAGACAATAACCTGCACGAAGACTTGTAGATGAGTCGATCACTTACTAGGATTCGACACATTTTCACTACCTAATCAAAAGATAATATTAAATTAGTGATTATATGCAAATATATATGTATCATAATTTATAATAATGTCATGAGAAAATAGTTGTATATGTGGATAGTCAGATAGACATTGGTACATAATTTCATTCATAATGTTTTACAAACCAAAAACACTATAATTGGGAAATTAGGCTGTCCCTACACCAATCAAGCTTACTAAATCAATATATGTCATTACCATTCTCATTTCATTACCACATAGTAGTACAAACCAAGTTAGCTCCTTCTAGTACATGTTTGAAATGTCTTTTAATTCACCCAAATTGAAATTTTTCATAGATATTGTAAACGTGTCACTCAAAAATATATTTGTTTGTAGTTAATAAAAGCTATCAAGAATGTATTTGGTAAACATCATAAACTAGTTTATAATTTATTTGGTTGAATTATAAGCTTACTATATTTAAATAAGTTTCGTTTGGTATGTAGGACGAGTTCTTTTTTTTTTTTTTAATAAATTTGTTGAAATTTTTATTTCAACTAACTTATTAGCTAATTTTACTAAGTACTTTTATCTTATAAACTAGCTTTTCATTCAAAAATCAGCTATCAGTTATAAATTTGAAATCCACTTATAAGTTATCAGTTGGTTTATTAATTAGGTGTACCAAAGATATACATTCAAATCAATTTCATGGACTTAGCTAGTTCTTTTTTGTTATAAATTTATTATTGTATAATGGCTAATCATATGTTCACCACATAATTTGTTTAATTACTTCATCAACTTCAATGTTCAAAGCAACTTTTACTTTGAAGTTTAAACAAACGTTTTATCCAAAATTTTTACCTGCAAGATTCACGAATCATGATTGTACCTCAAGCCATGTAAATATTTTTTTACAGCTTTATGTATCATGTATGAATATCCCAGCTTTTTTTTGGTTTGCTATGTGCTTGTTTATTTTAGTGATAAAAGTGAACACTGGCTTGAGCTAGCAACCAACTCTTTGCAGTTTCCATATCCCATTCATTTGCTATAATTTCTTTTAATGTTTAATCATTGTCCTTCTTAGCTGCTATCTAGGAAATAGATGTTTTAACATTTTTTTTTTATGGTTTGTTTGGTCAATAAATAAACCACCTACTAAATTGCTTGGTTTCTTCTTCACACTTTCATGGGAAGTATTTAAGTTGAAATATTGGTAATTTCACTTCAAAGAAAATTTTATCTTTTTATTCTCAAAAAATTAATCTAATTGGATTATTTAACTCTTTATTTTCTTGTCAATTTTTAGCACATACGCAAAAGTTCTCATGGCTTGTGTATGGTTTTGTGGATTGGATTTGATAGTGTAGTAACCAAAATTTATGCGCGTATCGATTGATAAAAAAATATTAATTAATTCAAACACGGTATTTTTGCATATATTATGTTAGGCAGGCCTATCCAAATTTACAAATTTTGTATACTTTTATTAGAATATATCATACTTTAAAAACTTGATAAATGAAGGTATGACAAAGTATGTCATTTAATAATATGTGTATGAATTTTTGTTCATAGAGTATTGAGAATCGACTCGCCTAACAGTTAAACTGTCTCTGTGAAAAAATTATGTTAATTTATGCACTTAAATTAATCCAACTATTGGGCCATCTTTTTCTAACCGTTTCCCAATCATGGGATAGGTGTGGATTCAGATTCTCTTATAATACAGTTTTGATTTGGAAGAGGATTGATAGGATTTTGAATTTATTCATGTATTTTGCATTTGCCCATGTAAATAATAGCCCGCTGGAAAAGTCGCAAGACTTCCATTTATGGACATAATATAATTATTATCCTAATCTAATGAATTATAAGAGTTTATTTTTCACAATCTAATTAAATAATTGACCCCTTTTTTTTATTTTAAGTAATGGTAAGGGTAAACGTGAAATTAAAATTATGTTGCCTCATTCTCAAACTTCCCAACCAACTAATAGTTGATGGGTGGATAATTAAGACTTTTCACATAACAATAGATAAACAAACTAAAATATAATACATGTAATAGTGTTGTCAAAAGTTGACTAAAATGGTTTGTATAAATAAAAAATTTGGTTACATAAACTAGAGATTGTACTGCAAACTGCAAAGTTATTCTCTCAAATCTATAGTTTAGGGATTTATTATTTTATATTGGTCGAACTTGTTGGACTGTTGTAATTTTTCGTTTTATCTTTCCTCTATTAATAATTGTCCTTGAGAGTTGCAGTCTTTCAGTTGTAGAATTGTGGAATCTTACACGAATTGCTCACCCCAAGGACTATACATTATATAATATTCCTATTATTAATCTTGAAATTAAAGTTGACAACTTTTAATTAGACTTTGGGGTCAATAATTTAGGTTGCAAGGTACAATTGCGGCACATATTTTAAAATAGCCACCCGTATATAAATAGGGTGAAATTTACTTACCTAGTGCTGCAATAATAAACAAAAAAGAGATCAATTTTTTCATAATTAGGGCGTCTCCACTTGGGAGTATTTTAACATTTTTTTTTTAATTGACATGCCATTAGTTTTATACATGCATAAACAATAAAGATTTAATTACAATTATGATAAGAGTTGGTTCTTGGCTGGCATTTGCTAACCTTTTATTGGGAAACTAAAAGACTAAGCATAAAAAAATGTATGTATATTTTCTTAAAGCAACATGGAATAATTAGCGCTAGGCGATCGAGATCTCTTAACATGAACTTTACAATACTTTTAATAACATAAGCTAAATTCATAAAGTTTATGTAAATTTCAATGTGTGCATGCTATGGAAATTATAATAAAAAGAAAGTTTGTTCATGAGCTTTAATCAATTAGAGGCTAGGCACGTTTGGAAGCTTATAATCATGAAGCAAAATCCATTATAATTGTACTTTACACTAATATATAAAAAAGTTTCTGATTTTATAATAAACTTCGATGTATAATCACAAAACTTCGACCTTTTGTGCCCACATCACGTACGATTACTCGCACGCACACACACTCATGAGTACACTCATGAGTGTCTATTAGCTAGACGATTTTGAATTTTGCCCATTTCAATAACACGAACGGTAAAATCTAGTACTGTGGTAGTTTTTGGTCAAACATGACGTATAATTGCAATTAATCATAGTTAATTTATTAATTTAAATAATCAAATGTTCACATTCATATTTCTTCGTGTCGTACGTGTGTACACTAATGTCTATCTTTTAACCCGTACTTTGCTGGTAACATGAAAAATAACAAAACACAATGTTTTGTTTTTCAAATAACTCATAAGGAATTCTTTGCATTAATTATTTTAGAAACTTACATTGATGTCAATTTTGTATTTGAAAAGTATGTGTGCATAATTGTGAATAACAAGCTTTAACTAGCTTTGAGACCGACACCAATCAATTTTTGATACTTTACATCCCTATAACTTTATATAATTATAGTGGCTTTAAATATATATTTACTACTTTATAAAGTGTATATTATGATTTTAAATTGAGTTGTGGACAAAGCGTATCTGTAAGAAATTTAATGGGCATACTCATAATTATCAGGCGGAATTGAATAAACCCTACGCATGTAATTCTACCAGTTCATGGAATATGGATCTTTGCATTAATTAAATTGGACATAAAACTTACAAGTCCTTGCTTTTTTCCCGCGCCTCTCGTCTATTAACAAAGCCCTTAATTTGATGGTGAGAACTTTTATTTCGTATGAGATGAGAGAGATGAGCATGTAGTATATATATGAGGAGACCTACAAACCTATTCCTACTAACATTCCTCATTCTAACCCTAACTTAATGTCTAAGTCAAACATCACAAATTGGACTCTTTAATATTAGAACATTAATAATTCATTAAATACATATTCACCTTAAATAAGTTTGACTATTAATTCAATTAGGTCCAATTAATTATATGGTCCACAATAATAGAATAATATATAAAATATTATTACAGTATCAACAACATTGAAATAGACATCTCTTGTGTGAAATAAATATTGTTTTAAAAAATCTAAATTATAGTACAATGGGTTAAAATATGTTTTCGATGCCTATAGTACGTGTATAATCCACACGGAACTGTTGTGATTGTTACGAAACAAACACTCCTTATTTTTTAAGTTATAGGGATAAA